AATCCCTGACAGTCTTCATTGTTGGGCCTCATCGTGACCCAACATTAGGAACCTTGGCCCAACGCTGAGGGCTATAAATACCCTCTCAATTGAGAGAGTCAGGTATTTATTCTCATACTCATACTCACACTTGCTTGCACTCTCCCTGAAACTTACTTTGGCATCAGATTGTCTTGTAGGTACCCCCCCCCCCCATCTCGCTTTCAACATCAGCTCGACAAAGGCCTTGACGATCCATTCTGGTCAAGTACGATCATGAATCTTTTTATGTAAAATCCTATTCTGAAATGATTTAAATCATTTTTAAATCGGTGAAATCGTGTAAAATCGTATAAAATTATGTAAAATCATTGGATTTTACTATTAGACCTGATTTTATCCTCTTTTTTGGTCAAATTTTAAAAATAAGATTTTATATTTTGGCCCACGAAAACTTCTCATTGACTTTTTAATTTTATTCACAATCATATCTTGGTTATAATATTTAAATTTCTATATCATTTGGAGATGAATTTAAGCAAGTCAAATATGAATACCCTAATGAAGATGATGTTGTAGAATGATTGAACTTTTGATTAAGTTGAAGATGAAGATGATAACACTTTTTTTTGAACTTTTATTTTTTGGATAATCTTTTGGATGGTAATTTTTATGATTTGGTGGGTAATTTATGTAGTTCAATACAAGTTTGTGAATATTACACTTTATTATGGTGATATAGTATATTTTTGCTTATAGTATATTTTTTCTATAATTAAGTTAAAATTTTAAATTATATATATTGTGTATATAAATTTAACATTATTTTAATATGAGATAAACTCTATGATTATTTATGTTTTGATTCTACCTAAGAAAAACGAATTAAGGTGAAAACTTGATTTTGACAATCTTGACTCATTTAATCCATTTTACTCTGATCGTCGAAGTGTTTCAAGCTTTCTTTAAAAATATTGATTTTTTTATTGACTCTCGTTTTTCTTCAACAAATAATGGATTTTTGTTAATAATAAATTGTTGATCACAATGATCTCTTAATTTTTGTTATTGTTGCTTCTAATCCAACATAATTGTTTTGCATCGTCTTTAAGGTCGAAGGCGAAAGTGAATGAAGCAAATGTGTATCAAGTGTTTTCTCGTTCTACTCCGTTCGAGTCCGAGGGAAGAAGCGAGAATCACTTCCCAACAGAGGTTCACCATCACCTAAGACGGGAAAGGATCGTAGCAATCATTCATGATCCAAAGATCAAAAGGAACCAAATATCTACCTATATCCTTGACAATAGAATTTATCAAAATCACTGAAGAACCCTTTGAAGCTTCCTAAATTTGACCGAATTGAGGATCCTGACAAGCACATTAAGCATATAGATAACCGATTAGAATACTATCGAGCCGATAGGGTTTTAAAGTGAATTATTTTTGTACTTAACCCTTATTGGAGTTGTTGTGACATGGTACAAAAATCTCTTTGATGGGATAATTAACTTGTGAAAAGACATATGTGACGCCTTCACTGCCCATTTCACCGCTCACTAACGGAAAACAACACCCTTGTTGGTCCTCAGCAGAATCACACAAGGAAGGAAGGAGACCACACAAGGATACATAGATCGATTCACAAATGATAGACATCGAAGATCATACACTTCGATAAGAGCCCCCTCAGCATATGAGTCTCCGATAACTTTGAAACATGTATGGACCCCAAATGAGTTGAATTTGGTGATTATTGAGAAAGTCAATAGGGAAATCATGGACTATATGCACGAAGATCTCAGAGTTGAAGTCCTTGTCCCAAAAAAATAAAACATTGCTCCTTAAAGGGGCCGACGAGGAACTCCTATTTTTGGGAGTTCCATCTAGATCAACGGTTTCACGAGCCTCCAAGTTAATAGGGTGATATGGCTTTGAATCCTTGGGATGACGACCTCGAGAAGGAAGGTGTCCAACCATAGCATGATTTATGGTATTCAAGGGTCAAGTGGAGATAATGGTTTCCCTATCACATGTCTTTCTTTATCCATTTCCTAATAAGCCACTATGGAGGTTATGGGAATCTTCAGACCGTCTCTTGCCAAGATCAACCTTTTTCTTGGTATGAAAGGCCTTCTTCTGCTCAATTGTCATTGGCGTCACCCGTCTTACAAAAAAGAGAAAAGTATTGGTCAAAAGAAACATTTATATTATGAGCTCCCGAATAGACATTAAAATTACACAAATAATCACCAATTTACATATGACCTTCGTCACTCTTACCAAAACCCACCATCTCCCCAGAGCTCATGATGCATAATACGTCTAAGATATAAAGGATCTCTATTTCTATCTCAGTAAGAAAGTAATAATTGAAACCTTTTATCGCCACAAGGTCCTCTGTCCAGTAAAATAAAAATCAACCTTCGTCGATGTCCCTTGACATCATCGTAAAATAACTATATCCCCCATCATCCTTACGAATATATCTTTCCAGTTCTTATAATTGTTCGAGTGAAGGGTGAAGATGAACCTCTAATAACTTATTATTTGTTAGATATTGAAATCTCTAATACTTGAATTAAATGGTAAAATTAAGCTTTATTAGAGTTATTTATTTATGTTTATATTACTTTTGCTTAAATAGTATGGATCACACTAGGTGGTCTCTTTTGTTGTTTTTATGAGTTTTTGTGTATGTACAAGAGTAACTCTGGTGATAATTTCTGTCGCATAAGGAATTTATGACCACTACTTAAAAGTCCTTGGGATAGAAGATGTTGGTAGGAGTTTTTAATCTAAGCATTAGGGCTGAAGTGGTAGAGTTTTGAGGAAGGTAACTAAGGTTGAGTTGTAAATTTATAGAGATAAGGATGGCCGCTAAAGAATAAAGTTTGGAAAATCTATTTTGGAGGGCTGTAATAGCCACCTAACACAACAGCAGGCCTACTATAAGACATGTTATCTTTTGCATGCATTATATACCACTCCCAGCACTTGTACTAATAAAGGATAAAAAAGGGAATATGCTTTATTCTTTGTCATATGCATTAATATTATATATTTGTTTCTTTGAATGATCATCTTAGAAATAGATAAAAGTTTATTAATATTGAGGAATCATGTAATAAATATACATCATCACAAATATGGATAAAAAGTAAATAATAATTGTCATTTAGTTGTTTTAGGGATAAAGAACTAACACTATAAGAAAAGAAGAACTCAACAAATAAGTAAGTAGACGCTACTATGAGATTTAGGAATTTGTTCCATAGCTATTTACTGCACCTATTATGTCGTAGTAGGCATACACCGCTAGGTCAAGTCTCGACCTCATATGTCATGATAAATCTTATCACATAACACACTAGCTGAGATCTTTGAATGAATCATTGTCCAACATATTTCTTATCTTTTCTAAACTTCCTAACTTTTTAGTTGCTATTATTCATTCTTAACTAGTGACAACAAACAATTATTATTATTCAATGCTCATGACTATTCATAACTTTTAATTTGAAAATTATTTTAAGTTAATACAATCTATGTGGGATCAGTGCTCTTTCTTTTAACACTTGCTACCACTTTACCCTCTTAGGCAGCGTGTCCAGGGTGACCCAACTACCCATGCTAGGAGTATTTTTACCATAGAAAGAGAAAAAGGATCCACAATAGAAGAGACTTCTAAATTCCTACACAAAATCTCAAATTCCATGATATAGGCCCATCCATTAGAAAATATATGAGAGGGGGAAACATTGATGGTTCTAAGAACCTCAGACTCAAACGTTGTAAAGAGTATTAACATCACCAAATTTTAAATGATAGGAAGGTGCTTGCAGAAGAAGTCATCATCAGAATCAGCAAGGTGTTTATCGTGAAATTTGTGGATATGACTGGACCACCTTTCCAATACGTGGTAGAGGAGTTGTTCTTGAAATGGCCGATTTAGGTCGTACCAGCAAAGGGGGAAACCACTCCCCCAATTAAGAAGGAAACCACTTCCCCCATACTCCCACGTGCTCTTTGGAAAGTTGAGGGAATACTTCTTCTTTCCTTTAATTTGTGACATGTAAACTTGACTTATAATATTTTAACTCCTTAAATTTTGAAGTATGAGTATTTCTAAAATAGTGAAGTACCGATATCGGATACATATTCATATCGGATACACATATACGACCTCATGATACTTCACTTATTTTTCATTATTCGATTTCAAGTGAAATTCGTGATTTTTCAAATGTCAAATATAATATATTTATATATTATAATTTATTTATTATTGTATCTTAATATTGTTTTTTATTGTTTTAAATTTGTATAGTGATATTTTGTTGAGAACTAACAATTTAATTTTTTATTTATATATTTTATTTTTTAACGTATCATATCTTAAATTTCTTTTAAATGATGTATCTCGTATCTGATATGAGTATCTGTATCAATACCCGGATCTATACTTCGTACCCCTAAGATTAAGAGATGGTTTACTAATTTTGCATACTCAAATACGAGATCATAGAAGATATAAACCCCTTTCCGATCACTTTCACGAGCATGACTAGATGATTGTATATCTTGTAAATTCATAAACAATTCAAAATCAGTGTAAAACGAAACACTAATAATATAAAGAAGTTTGTTCCCTGCCCGACCAGCATGACAAACCCATGATATTCTGAATAGGATGCCACGTATTACTAACACAAATCCAAGCCATCCACGTTTGCCTCGAATTTATCCAAACTTCATGGACATATGTAGGCTTCAAATTTCATTTCCATTTCAGAACGTGTGCTGCCTCAACCATTTACATGCGTAGTGTCATCTCATCCCTAACACGTATTCAAAACCATTCCATAGGTTTCTCTCTCTAACAAAACAAAAAAATCTAACTCTAACTCTAGATATTTCAACAAAACTTGCTTGCACATGTTATATACACTATGTCATATGTAACATCACATTCAGATTCTGCTAACTTATGTAGTAGTAGTAATACGAGGAAGTTGTTTAATATGGATGAAACTAATAATGTTGTAGCCGACATCGATGTTAATAAATCTAAACAAATTGAACGACGTTACGAAGACTATAGAAGGAAGAGAAAGCGTCCTTGTAAAGCGCCGGTGATCCCTACGATGGAATCAACTAGCGGAGACACGGCCACGGCATCACACGGTTTTATATCGGTGATTGGACGGAGGAGGGTGATGGAAGACGCTATCAAGGTGGTTCCTCGTTTTATGGCTGCGGAACAACAACCGTGTGGATACGATTTCTTTGCGGTTTATGATGGACACGGTGGGTCGACGGTGGCGAATGCTTGTCGTGATAGGTTGCACTTGTTGTTGGCGGAGGAAGTGAAGGAGGGTAGAGATCATGGATTGGATTGGTGCAAAGCTATGTGCTCTTGTTTCATGAAGATGGATCGTGAAATTGGAGTCGGTGGTGGTGGTAGTGATGATGTTGATGCGAACAACGTGGGTTCTACGGCGGCTGTGGTGGTTGTTGGGAAAGAGGAGATCATTGTGGCGAACTGTGGTGACTCAAGGGCGGTTTTGTGTAGTGGCGGTGTAGCAGTTGCACTTTCACGTGATCATAAGGTGATAACCATTTAATGATGCATGATCATAAGATATGAGTTACTATAAAGTCACATATATCTATGAAAACTGTGTTTGATATGTGTCAGGTGTCATTGTTTCATATAAGATTATTTCTTGTTTGTAATTTGTTTGTTTGAATAATGATGATCAGCCGGATCTTCCAGATGAAAGAGAGAGGATTGAAGCAGCGGGTGGAAAAGTGATAAATTGGAACGGGAGTCGCGTTCTAGGAATTCTTGCTACTTCTAGATCCATAGGTATATGTAATGCATGTCATCAATATTTTTTTACACAAAGTCGACAGAGACTAATTTCTCGAGTCTGGTATATATATGCAGGGGACCATTGCATGAAGCCATTTGTGATATCTCAACCAGAGATAAACGTGCATGGAAGAACAAAATCGGATGAGTTTGTTGTGGTGGCAAGTGATGGTCTTTGGGATGTTGTATCAAACAGTTTTGTTTGTGAAGTTGTTAAAAGCTGCCTTCAAGGTCATATGAGGAGGCATAATAGTGATAATGTAAAAGAGGCTCTCACTATTGAAGGTTATGCAGCTGAGGCTGCTGCAATTTTAGCTGAATTGGCTATGTGTAAGGGAAGCAAAGACAACATCAGTGTTATAGTCATCCAACTCAACAACACTAACATTTGATATCTGATCCAATTGTTTCCTTTTATTTCCCTTTTGTTTCTTTTACTTTTTCATTTCTTGTTTCTCTAGTGAAGTTTTTGTATTGGATAGTTGGGATTTATAACGTTTTTTTATTTATTTTAAATTTCTTAGCAAAGACTTGTGTAATAGTATGTATACTAACTTATTGAATAAGTGTTACAGATTTGATTGTGTCTTTTCTCACTTAAAAAAAGTTAAGTTTAATATATCAATGTCTTTCTATTCAAAAATTAAATTATATATATTTTTTTATTTTAATTTTTTAAGAGTATGGTTGATTGTGGAGAGAAAGTGTGAACAGAGAAAATTTTAATTTTTTAAGAGTATGGTCGATTGTGGAGAGAAAGAGAGAAATAAGTAAAGAGAAATTATATATTTTTTTAATTTAATTTTAATTTGTTTAAGAGTATGGTTGATTGTGGAGAGAAAGTGTGAAGAGTGAAATAAGTAAGAGAAATTATAAAAAGAGAAAGAATAATAAAAAATAGAGTAGATTTATTATATTATTTGATATAGAAGAAAGATAAGAGAAATAGAAAAGAGAGATGTATGTAAGTTTTTTTTTAATTTTTTAAGAGTATGGTTGATTGTGGAGAGAAAGTGTGAGAGAGAAATAAGTAAGAGAAATTGTAAAAAGAGAGAGAATAATAAAAAATAGAGTAGATTTATTATATTATTTGATATAGAAGAAAGATAAGAGAAATAGAAAAGAAAGAGATGTATGTAATTTTTTGAAAAGACATAAATATTCTTAGACAAAAAATATATAACATTATATATGATTTATTTACAAAAGTAATAAACTATATTAGTTTAATTTAATAGATATATATTGTTTTTCGGATTTTAAAATATTTGTCACCGAAGAAATTATCAGGTTGAGTCGTAGATTAGGTTGTTAGGTTGAGTCGCAGACTAGGTCGCTTTCTTTAAGACGTTTCGCGATACTGTTTAAAATTATGCAAAGCAGTCGAACTATCGCGCTATCTCTAGGATAAGACAATTCAGTTCTATATTGTACGATTAGTACTTACATGGTAGATAATCGGTCTAAAAATAAATAATTTGATGGTATATGACCATTCAAATATGGTATCAATACCACTTGTAGTATCTGATACAAAGATCAGTCGAAATAATTTCTCAAACAAAGAGAAATTCAAATAATTCTCCAAAGAGAATTTAATAATGGTCATTTGACCACTCATAATAATTTCTCCAACAAAGAGAATTTCAAATAATTCTCAAAAGAGAATCCAAAAAATTAATACTTGAAAATTTCTCAACTCAAATGAGGAGAAATTAACATAATTCTCTAAAGAGAATTCAAGAAAATACTCGGAAAATTTAACGAGTAGGAAGAAAGTGGCGCTTCGACAATTCGAAAGACGCATAGTTATGAGAGTGAAGAAGGAAAAACTAATAGAATAATTTTTGATGTGATTTGGAATGAAACATGTGCACTTCTTATATAGTGAAGTAAGCTAGTTAATATTTCTCACATGAGCAATGTCGGACTAAATGGTTTTTTCAATCAAAAAGATATTCTAACAATGTGGGACTTGAGAAATTTGTAAATTCAACATATTGGAACATGGACATGTTCCAACAATCCCCCACTTGAATTTAAAAAAATTAATTTTAGAAGTAATGTCAAACGTTTCTAAGATTGTACATAAACAAAGGTGTCTATGACTTGAACCTTTGCATAGTGTCAGCTCCTAAATTCGACACCTACAACAAGTTGGCCTTAGGGGCCAAAAATAGATTGAACAAGTCTAAGTAGGAAAGGCTTCGACAAAGTAGAAAGTACTTAGAGAAATTCTAAGTTAAATTGAGTCTTCGACCAGAAGGTTCTCAATCCCTTCGACTGAAGAGACTCCAAGGTCTTCGACCAGAAGGGAACAACGTGTCTGCCTCAAAAGGTTTTGAATCTGAAGAAATGAGGGAAAAGCAGTTCGCTTGGAAGTTGAGGAAAGTAACGTGGCATGAAAATATGGGTTGAAGCACATGCAGAAGACACTTGTCTTCATCCTAGAGAAAGGAAACTCCTCGACGGTTACCTAGTTTTAGTATAAATATAGGAAGTTTATGTAGATTTCTGGGTGTTCAACTGATCGTGCAAATTATTCAATATTATTCAAGTACCCGCTGTGTGAGAAAGAATACTGAAAAATGTAAGTTTGAAACACCACATTTTACAATCAAAGTCTTTTATTTCTCCCTTTACATTTCTTGCCTTTTTATCTTGTTTGTACTTTATCTGCACTTTTACCCAGATTCCTGTACCTAAACTCCCCTCGACCCCTTTGTTCTATTTACTTTATGCACTCAAACTCATCATTTTCCCATTCGAACGTGCGTTCTTCACCCACATTAACGTTTATGTCCAAACAACATCACAAATTAGTATATGTCCTAGGATCAAACTGATCGATCCTGTGAGTAACCAAAAAGTTACCCTTTTTGGAAGATCATCAGTTGTTTACTAGAAAATACGGTGAACAAATTGGCACACCCGGTGGAACGTTGCTAATTACTGTTGTTTTATTTATTTTGTCTTCCGTTTTGCTTATTAATCTTAAAATAAATGTTTCGCATGATTTTCTTTCTTTTACAAAGTTTTGCATGCTATTAAGAAGTGGTAAAATAACCACCAACGAGTGTACAACTAGAAAGAGAAATAGTGAAAGCAATATGGCTAATCAACCAAATAATGGAGAGATACTTCCACCAATTACTACAGGAATAGCGGTAATACCAGCCGTTAGTGAAATTTTCTCATCAATTGTCGGTTCGACACTGTGATACGATGGGAGAACTGACTTAGGTTTTGCGTTTGTTTTTGCAAATGTTTCGGTTGAGCAAGAGTCGCCACCGACTTTTTATTTTATCCTAAGGAAAGGTTAAAAAGCACAGCAAAAACCTTTGAGATGTTTTCTTGGGTTCGGGGAGTAGATTATAGAAAGGGAAGGTATTAGCACCCTTTCTATCCATGGTTATCCATGGGCTCTTAGTTACTTGCTTAGATCACTTGCCTTTGCTTTTCAATTGTTTGAAATGGTGCTTTGTGTGTGTGGTTTTGAAAATGTTTTGAAAAAGATGCCTTTGCCTAGGCAACCCTTGTAACAATTCTTTACTCGAATGTTTTACAAAAGGTGTTTGTCTTTTTGAAAAGATGTTTCAAGGTTTTGAAAGTTGTTTTGAAAGCTGTGTTGTGGGGTGTGTTTTGAAAGTAGGCAAATGTGTTTTGTAAGTTTGATCAAGTAACTAAGAGTTGTCTACCCCTAAATTTACTCAAAGATTTTTCCTATGTTTTAACCCTTTAAGGGACTTGATCATTTTTAGACAACTTCGAAAGCGTCATCGAGGGACTATGATCATTTGATTTGTTTTTGTTTTGCCAAAGAAACTCAACATGCAACATGGCCCATTTTTGAAGGCAACAAGTGGAGTAACCCTAAGGGTGCAAGTGTGCACTGGTGTTGTCCATTTTTATGTTTTTTTGTGTTTGAATTAGTCAAGCTATTTGTTGGTTGATTTGCATACAAACCCTAAGTCTATCATGGCATAATTTGAAAGCTTTTAAATGCGGAAATTTAAAGTCCTAAATTATTACAACATGATTATGGGGATGGGGGTACAAATGTTTGAATGGGGGATATTTAGCAAGAAATTAAATCTAAAACTATTACACCCATATTGAATATATAAATTATTTAATTGTACAATAATTAAACAAATATAATAAAAATGCAAAATGTATTATGCACAAAAAGATTTTTTATGTATGAGAAAGTATTTTTCAATGTGAAATATAAACAAAAATAAAATGTATTATTTTGGAGTATTTTTGTGGTTTTTAGGGTAAAACCCTAATTTTTGAATAAATAGCAATTATTTATTAATTATATATAATATTTGTTAATTATATACAAAAATAAAAAGTATTTTGTAAAAAAAAGTATTTTTGATGTCATATATTAATAAAAATTAAAATGCATTATTTTTATATTTTTTGTCCTAAATATTCTAATAAATATATACAAGTATTTATTATATATTAAATATACTAAATATATACCAAAATAAAATATTAATTATTTAAAAAAAAGTATATTTTTATAAAATGTTTTCAAAATGTAAACAAAAAATCATAACTAAAAAAATATATTTTTGTATTATTTTTTAGTGTTTTTAAATAAAAGTATATGTATTGTTTTACATGTATAAGTTTAAATAAAACAAATAAATTCCAAATAAATGTAAAAATAGATGGAAAAATATTTTTAATATTTTTTATATTTAAGCAAAAAATAAAAAGTCAGAATCAAAAAGAAAAAGTCAAAAATGATCAAAATATCACACAATGGGTCAGGGGGGTGTAAATGGAAAATGAGGGTGTAAGCAGCAAGAACAACTCAGGCCCAGCCCAAGTCACCACCTTCTTCAACCTCCATCCATTCTGTTTGAATTTCGCGCGCCTCCTTGCTCAAACAACAAACTCCTGATTCTTTGACTTTTAACAAAAACTCATAACACAAACATTATAGAGCATGAAGAGACGAATTCATACATATAAAAATCTGGACCTAACTCTCAGAAACGAGGGAGAATTTCTTAATCCCCAATTTCTGACCTAAGTTTTTTTCAATGTTCATGGCCAAAATTCTCACAGCACGCATAATATAAATGAAAAGTAAATACATGGGTGGTTTCAGGGCTATGAGTAGAACATGTTTTCTTCACAAACCTAAGCCTAATCATGCCTGGATAGAGAGATAAAAGTTCACATTTTTACCTGTTTCAGCTTGACTTGAACAGAGTAATGTGGCCAACTTCAATGGAGTTTGAGGATTTGTACAGCTTGCCTGAGGTCCAAGGAACCTTCTCCAACACCTAGCTTGCTTTGAATCTACCTGTATCGAGCTATGGAAGTCAACCTGCACAGCTGAAAAGTGAAAATGGAAAACTTGGTT